TGAACAGAGGGACTATCTACAGGGACAACTTTTTATTCTGTTTGTGATCCACCACCCCCCAGGTCAGATCAGACTTAGTGAAGACAGTCAGGGAAGCAAAATTAAGATTTCTGTCTTGATGAATGAGTAAAATAGATTTTACAGTTTTTATCTTCCAGGCTTTTGTGCACATGTACAAGTTCCCTATAATGCCCTCTCTGTAACAGTTGCATACAAATTAAAGATTCACACTAGTTTAGTCACAAGACTTCCCTAGATAGGGACGATTAATCATCCTCTGTAATACCCAAAATTATTTCTATGATTTTGTAACATAGCTTGGTTTGCAAAATTTATTCAGCTCATCTTAACAGTAACTGCATTGCAAAGCAGCCTAGCTCTGTACTGAATTGTAGCTGGCTAATATTTAATTCCAGTCCTGAACACAAGTGCAGAGAATTTAAAGAAACCTGCCAAAAACACCAGTCAAACTATGTACCTCAGTCAAAATACTGCAATTTGTAGTTAAGTTCTTACCATTTAAATGAAAAAATGGAAAATCTGCTACAGTTTTTCTGCTGTACACTTCAGAAATTCCATAGGTAACTGACACAAAATATGTAATATAGTTAATTTAATGCATACTGTATTTATATATTTCAAAAGCATGTGTATTTCTAAATTACTTTGTACAACTAGTAGAATCGTATTTGCAACAAAACTAGAATAGAAAACTAGAACAGGATATAAAGCTCACTATTTTTATTGCTTCTGAAACCATGCACTAATCCTGCAAAAGTGCTAAGGTTTGCTTTCTTACAGGTTTTGTCTCTGCTTTCTGTTAAAAGGGCAAACATGCAGCTGCTGAAATACACATGCTGCACATAACTGAGAAATTTACTATTTAGAAGCTGTCTAAATAGCCTGAAAGAGTGCAATAGTGTCTGCATTATACACACACCAAGTAACATTCAGATGAGTGTCTCTTACAAGGAAACATTTCAAATTCATCAAACTCTCCATTAAAATATTACAACAGATCTGTAATCATCTTAATTCCCTGCTCCCCCCCAATAAAATTCATGAATGGCATTGATGTGAAGGCGTCAGAAATACAAGTTTTGATATACCTGATAACCTCCTCTTTTCTAGTAAAGGCTATTACAGCTGCGCTGGCTCCCTCTACAGATCCCTGGTAGGGCTTATTTTTATTTCAAAGGTAGCTCATTGAAAAATCACAGATCAGATCCAGTGCTATTAGAAATAATCTGATAGGGCCAGTAAATCCTTAGTTTTGCACTGTAACTGAAGATGGTGAGCATGAAGAAATACTGCAGAACAACCTTCTGGAGGTATCATTTTAAATCTTGTAAAAACCACGTACAGGCATCTGTTCTTGGTACCTACTCATGCCTGTCCTTATGACAAAAGATACATTGCCGCTTGACAAAGCCCTACAGCATGGGTGTCGAGTCCTCTGTCCTACACCATGGCACTGTATTTCTTGCTAAGAGAGACAAAACCAGCGAGGACATGTCCTGCCCCCTCCGCTCCACTGAAGCCTGTACAGACTAAGTGCAAGTGCTCCAGTCATCCAGCAGAAGTGTCAGAATGCAAGGAAAACAGATTGTGTCCAGATATACACACACAAATATACACACACACACTTTAATCTTTTCAGTAGCCTCTCAAGTACATACCAGAGCACTTAAGACCCCTTAATTTTTCTCAAAAATGTATAAAGAACTTACTTGAAAACTGACTAGAGCATGCCTGTTCCAGTAAAGAAAGAATAAGACTGAAACACATCTATGAACACAAATTTGGACTCTGTTTTATCCTCAAGTCATTTACAGCAGTTGCTGCTCAGCTAGCCCAACATGATCATAACTGAATAATAAGTTTACCATGACCACTCGTCATTGCTTTGCTGATATTTCACACCTTTGAATAATCTTCTGCCACTAGATATCATGAACGAAAGAGCAAATAGTCAATTGATTTGATAAATGCAGCTTTTAAAAATTTGCTTCATTTTAAAGGCCTCAGTGTCTGCCAGCATCCTGCCACATGAAAATAACGATGCTAAGATCCACAGCCCGCTCCTAGAATGTCTGATTCAGACAGCAGCTGCGCAAGCCCCAGAGTACAAGTGCAGCTGAAGAGGAGCCCAAAATTAGCTCAGCTACAATCACGTCTGCTCCCAGTGCATACTTTGCATTCTCCGATGGCCCTCTATAGAAGAGCTTCTTAATAACAGTAGTCCTGTTCTAACAGCTTAATTAAGGTATTGACCAGGAGGGGGGGCATTTTTTCAGTAAACTATAGAAATAGCATAAATTCTTATTTCATTCCCAGTTTCATTAGTATTACTCATTAAAAAAACCTGAATTATACTTTCTACCAAGCTGACTAGAACAAAACAGCAATGCTGTAAAAATAACTCCTGTACCTTTCTTCAGCGTTTTTGATAATAGTAAAGTATTTCCTCATTCAGACTACTTTCACTGATTTGTTACACGCTAAGGGTATTTTAGTACTACAGTGAAAAATATACTACAATAAAACAAAGTAGTATGTGTAGATATGTTTAAGTGGTAGCAAAAACCAGAATAATTTTAAGCTATTATGTGAGCATTAGTATAAGAAAAGCATCGCAGCATAGGAAAACTAAAGCAGATTGGTAGGGGTTTGTTCCACTCTCCCTTTTAATTTTAATTTAATCTTTTTTAGACAACAATGTAAATCTCGCAGAGTCCTCTCACTAATTTAAACTTTATTTACTTTTTAAAGTGTACTCTATCAACCTGTTACCAAAGTTCTAAAAATATCCAGTACAGTCAGTAGAGCTCAGCTGTAACTGCACTAAGGCATCCACTACACTGAGAAAGTCTAAAATGTAATCTCAGCTCATCTGATACAGTGCAGCCTAGTCCACGAACCTGGAATAATTATAGTTTTAGAAAACCCTGCTTCAGTGCTATTTACTCCTCCTCCTCTTTTCATAATTTAGAAAGATGACCAGAATAGCCCCACAACCAGAAAAAACCCCACAACATTCCTTGACAGAGATCCTGCACACGAAGTTCTAGCAAGGACTGCTATTTTACAATCAATCAGAAAATAGGGAGTTAGCATGAAAAGTGCTGACACGGTCTTAAGTACAGGGGCATGAATGAGTCACTGTAATAATTAATCTTAAAAAACCCTAAAAGTTCAGAGTATATAAAAGGAGCACTTCCTACTTTATGGTTGCAAAGACCAAGCTAACTGGGAATATCATTCTCTCGGGTCCACACTGCTTCTTAAATGAGATTACGGCAAGAGTGATGTACTGTAATACAAGTCAGTTGTGACAAGCAGCGCTTTATAGAGCTATCTGTTTGTCTCCATCACCACATCACACAATGTGTCCCAGGACTCCAATGTGCAACTCCATTTACCACTACATGACAAATGGGCAGCACTTGTAAAAGGCGCAAAGAGGTCCAGATCAGCCGTGTAATGGTCACCACAGATGTACCGTAGTGCTTGAGGGGGGAGAAAACAGACCCCCAAGTTCATTAAAGTGACCAGTAATGGATCTTTCAAAATGTGTCTTAGGAATAGTACAGTAAAGGCTAAAATAAATAACTCAGCATGGAAGGCTAATCTGAAATGGTGTTTGATAAATTATTTATAACACAGACAATTGTCTGCATTTAATATTGGAGCTACTGGTAGCATCTTTAAAAAATGATTTATGTCTTGTAATGCCATTAAGCTTTATATGGGCCCACTGCTAGCTATAAAGTCTGCTGAGATTTAGAGAATGAGTTTTAAACTGTCACTGCAACATCATAGTAGATAGAGACTGTATTAAATCTTTACTTTAAACCTGTTATCTAGAGAGTTGCATTTTGTAGACAGTCAAGAACTGATAGATTACCTCTCTACAGCTGCTATGGTGCAAGTCCCAAACAGCACCAATAAGGAACTTTTACACATTATTCTTGTATATGACTTGAATCAAGTTTCTCTTCTCACTTAAGCAATTTCCAGATCTCAAATGCTACTGAAGTAAAAAAGAAAAGAGACTTTCTACAGAAGATGGGGATATTTCTACATCATATTAACACTACCTTTACTAATAGTTTTTAAACAGGTTTATCATTATGCCTCCAGCAGTAAAGGGAGCAGCTAGAATGGCTTTGTGAATATTATTTCCTCAACATTTTTTAACTTGCTTGCAAAGTTACACAGGAGATGTTTTTTCCAAATTTAAAAACTGTAGAAAGGGTTATTTTTTTTTAAATTCTTACCAAAGTGAAATGAATACCTTCTGCAGGTCACTGGTATCCTGTTAGATATACGATATGTAGTGCAGTTCTCCAATAATAAGTCTTATCAATAATATGAAATATAGTACACAATGAATATTTGTATAGGATGAATATGATAGTGTGTAACAATTTTTGTAAAAATAAAATTCAAATATTTATCACAACTGTCTTTTACAACAGAATGAAATTTGTTCAAATTATATAATGTAAAAAGTCGATCCTACTTAAAGTGAGAATCCACAAGACTCACATGGGAAGAGAAGGGGAAAGGGGGGGAAAAAAAAAAAAAATCAGAATCTTCAGGAAGGACAATGGTAATAAAAAAAAAAATCTATAAAGGAGTGTTGGGAATTTGGGGGTAGGAAAGTGATACCTTTTGAAGGACATAAGCACCTACAGAAGCATAATTAGACTTTGGAAGAGTAATCAGCATACTACAACATGCGAGAGGATGTATAAGTCTGCCTGTTGGGAGAAGTTGTGGTAGAGATCAATATGTAACTGGAAGCAATGCTAAAACCTGCTGGCTAAGTCCAAAGAGATAACAAAACTG